TTGCCCTCATCCAAGTCTTTTGAGAGGTCGGACATGCAGACATGAACCAGCCCGACCTGCTGCCATATAAGCCCTGCCCACCAGTGCAGAAGTGTCTCTGCATGGCTTGCTGGGCAGCACCGGGGCTTTCAGGGATGATGTGCTTCAGGAGAGAGGTAACTAGTGAGAGCCTCTTCCATCTGCGCCATTGTTACGTTCCTCCACTACCTGTGGTGGCTCTGTTTCCTCTATTAATGTTTGGCTGCTCGGCAGTATGTTTTTCATTTGTCATTGTGTGCAGGTGTGATCAGGTAACGAGTGGGCGGAGAGACACCCTTTAAAAGCTGAGGCACTTCGTGCAGAGAGAGAGAAGGAGAGGGAGAGACTTGTGTACCGGCCACCACGCCTATTTTGATCTTCCTGCAATGTTTTTGTTCTGTAGTAGCTAACTTCCCTATTTCTGTGGTTGTAATTTACTCAATTGTTTAATAAACCCCCTAGACAAACGAGTACAATTGACTTTGCGGTCACTTTATGTTGTGGCCAGTGTGCCTGATCATAACATTTGGGGGCTCGTCCGTTTTCGAATCGGGTAGGAAGTAATGTTTTGTGACCGACTTGTTGGTGAGTACCATATTCTTTTGTCTGGGTAGAGGAGCGTGCACCTCAATAAGTAAGTCACCGGGCAGACACGGAGTCTGCCACTTTATTATTTTAGTTTCATTATTTTTGGTGGTATCCTTAGTCGGTACGTTTCGGGGGATTGTGGTAGACTGCGCAATCGGTCTGCTACGTCCTCACGAGCTTAACGTTTAATGTACACCGGGTAGGGGATCCACTGAAGACTAGTGAGGCTAAGTTTAGTTTTGTTGGATAGGCAAGTAGGGGTTGGGGTGTAGCAGTGAATCTCCCAGTTTTCTGGTACTCGCTTATTTTGTTTGTTGCTTTAGTGATTTAATAGTGCACTGCATAAAGTAGTGTTTAAACAGGAAGAGGTTGGGTTTAGACTTTTGTTGGCTGCAGTGATTTTTGGGGTTTTTAGCCCATTAGTGTGTCTAACTTTTCCTCAACTTGTCAGTATTGTGGCGTGGTGGTGTTATGCTAAAGTCTTGTGGTCATTTTGGGGATTTGATTGCTGTTTTTTTTCCCTTCTCTTCCTTTGTAGTTGTGTAGCAGCCTGTAGTATTTTGTTTTATTTTGGATTGCTATATTAATCATGTCTATAGCTCAGGAGTTTATTGAAAACCCTTCTGTAGAGGCGTTTAATAATCTTAAAAAAGAGCAACTTTTGGAATTAGCTACTCATTATGAAATTGAGTTGTCTGCTTCTGATAAACGCCTCAAAGACCGCATTAGAACTGCTCTGCTACCAGTTTTGGTGGAGAAGAGGGTTTTGCCTCCCGTTGATATGAGAGATTCTATCCGGTTGAAAGAGCTTTCTATTCGGGAGAGAGAGTTGGACAATGAGAGAGAAGAGTTGCGTTTAAAAGTCTCCGAGAATGAGTTGGAAATGAAACGCTTAGATTTAAAAGCTAGACAGGAAAATATTGATCTCATTCACACTGGGTCTTTTGATGTGTGCAAACACATTAGGCTTGTACCACCGTTCATTGAGAAAGACGTGGAAAAATATTTTCCGCATTTTGAGAAAGTTGCGTCAACTTTAAATTGGCTGAAAGAAGTATGGACTTTGTTAATTCAGTCAGTTTTAACTGGTAGAGCACAAGAAGTGTATTCTTCACTTTCACTTGAGCAAAGTAAAGACTACGGTGTGGTTAAGGCAGCTATTCTTAGTTGTTACCAACTAGTTCCAGAAGCTTACAGACAGCGTTTTCGCCGATGTGAGAAAACCGAACATCAGACTTATATCGAGTTTGCTCGTGACAAAGAGGCTTTGTTTGATCGATGGTGTTCGTCAAGTGAGGTGGACAGTCAGGCAAAGTTGCGAGCCTTGATTCTTGTGGAGGAATTTAAAAACTGCTTGCCCGATGTTGTAGCTACTTACCTTCATGAACATAAAGTCAGTTCTCTGCTTGAAGCTGCTGTCTTGGCAGATGAATTTGTTTTGACCCACCGTATCTTCAAAGACCGAGATAAGCCTGTAGGTTCATCTCCTAAGCCCAGTTATGCTGCGGTGCATTCTTCCAGTGGTCCAGAACAGGCTTGTTTTTATTGTAAGAAACCTGGGCACTTGGTGGCAGACTGTCCAGTGCTGAGAAAAAAACAAGCTGCAAAAGGCTTTGGGTTGATTGAAGCGTCCCCACATTTTGTTTCGCCCTGTCCTGAAATTCGAAGTGATGTGAAGACCGGCTATGAACCTTTCCTTAGTGATGGTTTTGTGTCATTGTCTGGTGATGATAATCCCATTCCTGTACGCATTCTGCGTGATACGGGTGCTGCACAGTCATTCATTTTGAAAGGGATTTTGCCTTTGTCGGAAATAACGGAAAATAGCACCAGTGTATTAGTCCGTGGCTTTGAGATGGGCTTTACTGTTGTTCCACTTCACCAAATCATGTTCAAATCTTGTGTAGTCACCGGCCTTGTTGCAGTTGGGGTTTGTGAATCTCTACCCATTCCTGGTGTGTCCTTTATTTTGGGCAATGATTTGGCAGGTAGTAATGTGTGGAACCGAGGGAGGTCGGAAGTTCTCCCTCAAGTTGTTACTGTGCTTGGCAAGGCAGCCGCCCATGAGCGTGTAGAGAAAAATCCAGAAGTTTTTCCTGCAT